GAAATGCAAATCAAAACCACAATGAGATACTATGCTAGCATTTCATATTTGTTAAAATGGCTATTATTAGTAAGAAGAAAACGAGTGTTTGAGAGGGTGTGGAGAACAGGAGACCCTGGTATAATGCTGATAGGAATGTAGATTGATGCTGCCACTGTGGAAAACAGCATGAAGGTTCCTCAAAAAACTAAGAAAAGAGCTCCCATATGACCCAGAAATTCCTCTTCTGGGTATCTACCCAGAAGATTTGAAAACACTTATCCGTAAAGATATGTGTCCCCCCATGTTCACTGCAGCATTATTTACAATAGCCAAGACAGAAACAGCCTAAGCTTCCTCTGACAAATGACTGGATAAAGAAGACATGGCATTACATATGCACACACAATGAAACACTATTCGGCCACTAAAAAGATAAAATATTGTCATTGCAACTTGAGAATATTATGCTAAGTGAAAAAAAATCAGATAGAAGAGGACAAGAGCTGTATGATTTCAGTCATATGTGGGATATAAAACAAAAAGTAAGAAATGAACAAACAAAGAGCCTTCCCCCCAAACCAAACTTGTAGATAGAAATGACAGAACGTGGTCACCGGAAGGGAAGGGGTGGGGGAAAGGAAGAGGGTGAAGGGGGCCAAACATGTGGTGGTGGACGGAGACTAGACTTCAGATGGTGAGCACACAGGGTGCACAGATGTTGTATCACAAAGTTGTACATGTGACATTTGTATAATGTTATTAACCAATGTTGCCTCGATAAGTTTAATTTTGAAAAGATGAATTTAAAAAATGCTGCATCAAATATCTGTGTACAGTACTCCCTCATCCCCGGTTTTGCTTTCTGAATGTTCAGTTACCCAGGTCAGCTGAGGTCTGAAGATATTAAATGGAAGAATCTGGAAATGAATAATTCGTGAGTTTAAAAATCAGTGCCGCTCTGAAGAGTGTGGTGGAACACGGAAGCGTCCCATTCAGTCCCGCCCCAGGCGAGCAGGCCTCCCCTGTCCCGTGCGTGCGCGGTCTGAGAGCTCCGCCTTCCAGCCACTCGGGCCTGGTCTTGGCAGTGCTTTTGTTTATTTTACTTCATAATGGCCCCAAACCCATTCTCACAACTTTCATTACAGTATGTTATTATCATTGTTCTATTTCATTACTAGTTATACTTGTTAATCTCTGTGCCTGATAAATTAAACTTTATTACAGGTGGTAATGTATAGGGAAAAACACTGGGTGTATAGGGTTTAGTACTGTTCATGGTTTTAGCGTTCACTGGGGGTCTTGGAGCACATCCCCTGAGGGTAAGGGGGGATCTACTCTATATGAATCTTTGTAACTATCTTTGGTTACTTCGTTAAGATGGATTCCTGGGAATGGAAATATTAGGCTAAAGAAGACACATAAGGATCCTGGTATATATCGACAAGGTTGGCTCCCCCAGAGGTTATAAATTATATTTCTATTAGCACCGATCAAGAATGTCCATTACCTCTCACCATTGCCAATGTTCCGATGTGTTAGTTAACTTTTTGTCTGCTCTCTCTGTTATCTTTCAAACAGATTACCATCTCCTTAAGCAGGTACTGTGGGTATCTGAATGTTTATATCCACCACAGAGTTTGGCTTGGTGTCATTCACATAATAGCCCTCATAAATATTTGCCAAACGAATGAATTTCTATTTACCACTATCCCTTTGGGGTTAAGAACTGGAGAAAGTACTCTAATAATCACTCTCAAATTGGTCGAGAGAGGAGTATATACTTGCTCATGTTCAAGGGATTTGGATAAGGGAATGGGTCCAAGAGAGGAAAATGAGGCCTCTTTTAGGGTCATCTCTGTCTACGGCATGTTTGGAACTGACTTTCTGCACTACCATCCAGTTTCCCTTCATAACTGGGTGTGGAGAGGGGTGGGATCTGTTTTCACAACTCAGCCATGTAGCAGAATGAGCGGAATTTTCCAGATGGATTCTCTTGATGGCCATTGGCATAGATACAGCTTTGCCTTCTGGGAGCCGTTGGCTGCAGCCCCTGAAGCCAGGACGGCTGTCTCCGCAGGCCAGGCTGTGGGGTCTCTGTGCTTCTGTTGGCCTGGAGAGCCATGAAGGATTTCAAACCATAAATGCCATCTTTATTTTGTTTGTAGTCGCTGTATACTAAATGCTTTCAGCAGGGGCTAGAGTGAGGAAAGTGTTATTCCCCCCACCCCCTCCCAGCCTTAGCACATACACATCCATACACATGCCTCGAATGATGTGATCAGATGATTCCCTGGCACTGGGCACCTTTCTAAATGCCAGAATCTGGGGTCATCTTCTGAAAATAATATGTTGCTTCAGCATTTTTTCGTATCTGCACACCCACTGTGAAGATGAATTGACGTTTCCCCTCCCCTACTTCCAGAGCCCTCTCTCTGGCATAGTTCTTCTTGTTTTCAGTAAAGAGGCTTGAAATGTGAAAGCTTGTTATGTATTTGGGAATATCTGAGCCAATAATATCTGTGTTACGATTTCACCTGCCCATTTGAGTTGAACACCACTTTATTTTTTAATTAGTTTTAGACAGAGGGGAGGGGAGGAAGAGAGGGAGAGAAACATCAGTGTGTGGCTGCCTCTCACGCGCCCCCTACTGGGAACCTGGCCCACAACCCAGTCATGTGCCCTACGCTGGGAATCGAACTGGTGACCTTTTGGTTCACAGTCCACTGACCTGTGGGGGCGACTTTTTCGAGATTCCCTCCCCGCCCCCTCCCCTGGTGCCACGGACACATGTGAATGAATAAATATGGCTGAGACATGCTGAGATCTGTTTGGGGACGAGGAGTGGGCTGTGGCCAGTTTCTCAGGGGAGACAAAGGCCAGCAGCAGCCAGTTTCTCCGAGGAGAAAAAGGCCCCGAGTGCCCTCTTCTGTAGCCTTTTATTGGGTTCTAATACACAGGAATACAGGGTGGCAAGGACCAAACAGTAGATAACACTTCAGAGATATCTGAGGGCTTCAGAGTCTGAGTCAGTGTCCGTCAGGAAGGGAGCTGCAGAAACTTTGGGAGACATACTCATTTCTTCTTGGACCCTTATCATATGAAAGTAAGTATTCTTAGCAGAGCAGATTTCACGGGTTTATCAGCAAGTCTTTGTGATGCCAGATTTTCCCCCCAGGACACACTCTAGCAAGGCAAGGAGCTGCACCTCTCCCCAACAGGTATTCAGGCTTAAGGGGATTAGAGCCAGGAAGCGCTTCTCCCGGAGAACATGGGGACTTGGGCTTTGACAAAGCTGGGGGGCGAGAGTCCATTGCTCTTTGTTGCAGCCCCCCCCAGTCCTTCCATGAAGGCCTCCCAGGTGATCGAGTCTGGCTTAGGTTGCCCCCCTCTGTGAGGGGTCTTACCCATTATTGACTTCCGACCAAACTCTGGGGGCAGGGAGAGGAACTGAGGCAGCGTTTGCTACCAGAGACAGGCTTTGTTTCCTGCCGCTGGCATTCCAAAGGTCGTCTCTAGCCCTTAGCCACAAGGGGTGGAGATACAATTCCTAAAATCAGGCAGAGCCGTCTACAACGCTGAGCCACACCAGCTGGGGTTGAACACCACTTTTATCATGCCCAGTGAACACAGTTGTCCCAGAGGCAGGTGGCGTAAACTGAAGGTGGGAATCTGGGCCGATCCACATGGTCATGGACAGAGGTGGTTTGCCTTACTGTGATGGGCCAATTTGCTGCCCTATTGCCCATAGGAATAGGTTATCTTTTGTCAAACGTTATCTTTGATAGTCTCTTATCCTTGGAGACCATAGTTTCTCTAACCCACAGGTTGGACAACTTCCTTGGAATTAGGAATCATCACTGTGGCAGATATGGTGAGTCAGCATGCCACCTACTAGCGTGCAGAGGTTGAGAAATGTAAAACACTATTTTGCAGACTCCCTTGCAGTTAGGGTTTTGATGTAGCTGGGTTCTGCCAATTAGATGCACTTTCTTGTGACTTGGATGTGGGAGCCAAATGTCGTGTGGAAAGAGGCAGGGAAATGGGCATCTGTACTTGCCACTATGCCATGGGCTATATGATTCTGGAGCTACCAGCTGTAGCAATGGTTTCCCAGTTCAGCAGGCAGCTTCCTGAGCCTGCAGCTCCTTTGACAGCCCAGTCCTCCAGCATGGATTTGAGAGTGAATCCCTCTTCCCTTTAGTATCTTGTAATGAATAATACCTCTCCTTTATAGACTTGCTAATAGAATCCCACAGGCTGCAGTCATGAGTTGCTTTACCTTGTGTATTTGATGGTTGAGACAAATTGTTTGGTTGGGATTTGACCTTTGACCTTAATTTTATTGGATTTATTTTCCCCAAAGCTAGTTTTGGATTATCCTGTTCCAGCTTGTACATTTTTCCTTGTGATAGTAAATGACCCTATGTTTGACTTTCCCCAGAATTATGTTGATGTGTCCAAACATAAAAATGTTTCCATCTTCAATGACCTATTTAATTTAAACAATTTCATGTGCCAATTCATACATCCTCTCTCTATAAAGAGTATTGTAGATATCAGTCCTAGCACTTCAACCAAAAGCACTAGCCCAGGATGTAAGTCATGCTTGTCTGTTTCCTGATATCTCAATGTTATTGTGATGTTGCTATTGCAGTATCACACTGGACTCATTTTAGTTGCCTTATGGACTTGTTTTTACCCTAGAGTTTGCTGAAACTTTCTTCTGAAAAATAGACTCAGACAACTCAGGCATTTAAAGCGCTGGTTGGGAAAGCACTGATTTAACTGGGCAAGACTATGCTCAGTAACTATAAAATTAGAATATATTCCCCAGTGCCTTCTCTTCATCCTTGGAGTACTGGACCTTTGACTAGACATAACTGTAAGGGCAGATCACTTAGAGAAGTCAGACTCCAAGCCTGGGTGAAAAGTGCTCTCCAATTTTGTTGGTCCTGTGTTGTTTGAAATGAAGCAGGGAACAAGCATTTCTGAAGAAGTAACAAACGTTCTGTCTCAAATTATGAACTAAAAAAAGAAATTTGTTTATTGAGGGCAAGAGGATGCAAGCAATATAAAAATCAAAAGCTCATCTGGCTTAAATTGGCTTTTCTTTCTCTTGTCAAATGGGGGTGGGATTTTATTTGTATACTTTCTAAGGGTCCCAATCTGCTCATGAAATCCTCATACGGGGGAAGCTGTGGGGCAGAGATTCCGTAAGCGACCCACTGGGAGAGCTCTTTATCAGGGAGGAAGCAGCTGCTCAGCTGCCTACTTCTTTCCCTTCTGCTTCATGTGTACTACAAAATAGTCATTGCATGCGATGGTGAGCCCAGCGATTAGCGAGAAGAAGCTCTGGAAGCCCACTCGGCCATCTCGGCACTGGTCCAGGTCTTTCATGATTTTGTCTACGGCCAGAGGGTCTTTTTGATTCTGAAAAAAAGTACAAAGGCAAGAAATGTCAGTAAGTGGTGGCAATGACTAGCTTTGTTGATTTGTACTGGTGACAACCATATATATATATGTTTATATATATATATGTTTATATTTATATAAACTTTTAATTATCTGATTTCTTATTTTAGGTCATAAGTAATCTTTGGAGGTTATCTAAATGAATTTTGTTGCCTTGAGGGAGCATTTTAGTAAATTGATACTTATTTTAAACTAGGAAAGAGGTTTCCATGGCATTTTTTTCACATAATTATAGGGACCTTAGAAATGGCCTACTCTGTGCCGGAGAAGGTACACCCACACCTTCTAATTCTCAATCCACTGCTCTTGCCGATGGAACCAACATGGCCTTCTGACCTGCTCAGTTTCCAGCTCAACTCCTCCTGCAACTTTCAAAATCAAAAGATTCTGCTTAAGAACTACTTAGAACTCCTAGTTTTGTAGTTTAAACTTATATTCTCTTAACAAGCTTTTATTTCTGATAGTCAAATCCTATAAATGTGAAATTCTTAGAAAAAGATTTTACAAGATTATTTAGAGTTAAGTTTCAGATCACTGACCTGTGGGTTTTAAAAGAGGGGCTAATGATAACCTCCCAGAATCGCATGTGGAGAGTGGCTAATATTCTGCCAGCTTTGGAGACGGGACGGAAAACAAGCCTAGCAGGGGTACCCATTCCACTCCCCACTTGCTCTGTAGCTGGTGATTGGAAGACTCTCTGCAACAGTGTTATATATTTTTATTATTTTCAAATTTAATTGTTGTTCAAGTACAGTTTTCTGTCTTTTACTCCCATCCCAGCCCACCCCTCCCAGTGCTCCCCACCTCCCGCCCATTTCCACCCCCCCATAGTTGTTGTCCATGTGTCCTTCATACTAGTTCCTATAAATCCTGCCCCCTTTCCCCTGAAATTCCCTCCCCTCTCCCCTCTGGTCATTGTCCGCCTGTTCTCTATTTGAGTGTCTTTGGTTATATTTTGCTTGCTTGTCTGTTTTGTTGTTTAGCTTCCTGTTAAAGGTGAGATCATATGGTATTTGGCTTTCAATGCCTGGCTTATTTCACTCAGCATAATGCTTTCCAATTCTATCCATGCTTGCAACAACGTTATTTAAACAAACAAACAAACAAACAACAACCAAGGGCCAGCAGAGTGGAGCAGCTGAAGTGTGCTGGGCCCATTAAAAAAAGGGGGGGCTAATGATGTCATGGGTGTGTTAGGTTTGGATAGTGTAGGTATATTGCCCTCATTTCCCTTCATTTCTTGGCATGGGCGGGGCAAGCTAGGGCGGCTTAATTTTATATGAGCCATGTAACAGTGAGTAAGTCACACTTAGTGAGCCTTCATGTATCAACTGTGAATGGAGGAGGTTGGATTAGAGTGCCTCTATTATCGCTTCCATTCTTAATGAACTGGTAAATCCACGTCATCTCGTACTCTCTGCTGGATTCTTTCAAAAGGAATATGTGTGATGGAGCTATAAACTCCCCGTGACTCTCACTGCCTGCCAGGAATGCATGGATCCAAGGTGGAGAGGCAAGATCCTTTTTGCTTTTCCTTTCATCTTGCTTCTACGCTGACTGGCTTGATCACTCCTTTTTGTAGTGACAATAGTGAGAAGTGTCCCATCACACTGAGAGGGAAACGTGGCCTTCTGGAGGTGTGAAAGGGCTCTGGTGAAGTGTTTATGGATTCCATTGATTGTGCGCACGAGAGGGCACTGACACTCAGTGTCTCGGGTGTGCTGGACGCCTACAAACCACACTAAAAAATCCCTTAAGGTAAAGTGGGCGAATTTCCTACACAAGGAATGCAAACATCTACCCCAAGCAAACAACTAAAACTGGCTCTGTGCAGTTACCTCTGCTTTTGGTGGGTTTCAGTTAATTCTGACCTCACCCCCAGCTTCCTGGCTGTGGTCAGAGAGAGTAAAATTTGGATGACAGAGTCAACTTTGGAAACAAAACGCTCTGTTAACTCGGCAAGAGTGGGTGTGTCTGGAATTATGACCCCATGCCGGGAATAAATTACACTGCTGTGCTCAGTACTTTGTGCACCCGCCCCTTATGTTGCTCCCACCACAAAGCCTTTAGGGAGGAGGGGTCTGCATCTCATGTGATATTCACCCTGCCTTCTAACTTATGCAACAACATGACTAGTCAGTATTTAGTGTACTGAGAATGCCTTTGTTCTGTCATGGGCAGGCTTACTTACAATTAACTTATTTTGTCTTTGCATTTTATGGTTGCCTTGAAAAATCATAGAAAGCGAAAGTGCCCTTGGAGGTAATTACATCCAGTCTTCTCATTTTACAGAGAAGGGAATGGAGGCCCCACAATCTAAAGCAACCTGCCCAGTGTTAACTGACTCCAGGTCTGGGGCTATATCAGAGAACTGTACAAAAGCAGTGTAACAGTATATTCTAACTCATTCTGGGATAGCACTGTGGTGACTGCAGCTCTGAGAGACTAGTCAGGCTATTTAGTTCTGTGTATTTAACTGGCATTGACATGTAAATCATACAGTACTACAAAGCCCTGTGTTTACTGAGTCATGAGCCAGGGGCTTGATTAATGTGTTATTGCCCAAGCAGATGACAAGAGGCAGGACCCGGCCTTTTACCTTCATCTTCCTTCACCTTGTAGAGGCTAATGCATAATTCTGCACCTAGCACAGTAACGGTCCTTTCAAGTGACTCCAGTTGAGGCAAGGAAACTAACACTTGCATTTCCATCTGATCTTTTGTCAAGCAATGCCTCACCTTCAATGAAATACAATAACCATCTCCCGAAGGCCTAGTATGTAAAAGGACAACTGGGCCTTGCAGCCTAAATAAGGACCTGGCTGATGTATCTGAGCTGATGGCAGGGTCCTCTTCCAGGCTGCATGATCCCTCAGTTTGGCAAGCATTGAGGTATAAACTCTATCTGTGCTCCTATGTTCTCAAAGCTTTTGCAAACATGAAATTATTTCTGGACTGATGTTCAGCTCTCATTCCACAGGTGTTTTGATACCATTTTTTCAGAACCAATTTTTTTTTAAAAAAAGCCTTTATCTGGAAAGATTTAAGAAAGGAGATGCAAGTGGCTAAAAGTGAGTGTGAACAGAATGTGGCTCATCCAGTGCCAGGCTGACGAACCAGGGGCTGCCAGGCGGTCAGTCTTGTTGCTGCCTCTGGTGAAAGGCCTTTCCCACAACTCAGTCTCAATGGATACAGATGATTCTCCATGGACTCTTTCGAGCACACACCTCGGAATATGGTCATTTGGGTGTTGTCTTATTTTACCTCCCAACTCTAACCTCCTTGAGGGCGGGGCTGTGTCTTCTTTACCTTCTGTTTCCTCTGTAGTATCTTACAAACAGGAGACACTCAATAATGTTTAATAAACGAATGAAAGCACCTTCCTAGTAGCGACCTCCACAAGGAAGGGATGAAAAGAAGGGAAAGGAACCAGGGCCTAGAAGCTCTGAATTTCACATCCGAGTCTTTCTGAGCCTTTCAAGACTTACTTCCAAAAATCCAGGGAACTCCTTTTCCATGAGCACTCTCAGGTCCTCCTTTGTTAGGTAGCCTTTGTCCCCAGCGAATTTGTGAAACGTGAACATCATCGTCTCCATGGCGTGTTCCATTTGAGATGGCATTTTGGTGAGGTCTGTTGAAACATATTAAAGGATATAAAGAAACGGAATTTACATTAACTTTTAAGCTACATGTTTTGCCAGTCTTTTGAAAATAACTGGAAGGAGGGTAATTAGATCATGCATTTGATTCTTTCCAGCTACAAAATTCAATGACTCTAAGAATCCATTCGCCTCTAGTTTTGGGTCTCCTGCTGATGGAAACAGGAACTAGAGGAATCAATGCTCTGAATGAGGAATTTATCTCGTTGTCCACTGATTCCACATAAATCTCCTAGTGAAAAATAAAACCTGTAATCATTTGGAAAAGCAAGATCAGTATCTGTCATTTTAACAGACAAAGCACCTATTGAAAGAACATGCGTCTCGTCATTTCTCTTGGCGCTGGTAAATGGGCCTCTTAGATATGGTGGAATACCAACCACCCACGCCATGAAGCCTGGTGACTACGAAAACTGCCGCCTCCAAGCATAACTGGCTAACCTGGTTCAGTCTAACTCTAGGGTTTAGAAATCTGCTTACAGATAGATTTTTGTTTGCTGGGTATGTATTGTTTACTAAACCTCTGAGTTAGTGATGGCAACAAAGACATTTACTTGCATCTTTGGTAGTAAAATGCAGTTGTCCTACCTGAATGAAAGCTACGCATGACTTGTTATCTAGTTCCTTGAGAAGAAGTGACAGTATATCCCAACCCCTTTGGGAACCTGATGTATTTGGGACTGCACAAGGACAGAAGAGTTCCTGTCAAGTCTGAGGCGTAGTGGGAGAGCAAGAGCTTTCTATAAGGAAGTTTAAAAGAAAGGAAACATGTCACGGCATATTCAGACATAACAATCTGGGGTGTAGGCCTCATCAAAACCCAGGGCTTAGTACTTGATAGCAATTCAGTGGATTTTGGCTTAAATGGAAGGAATGCTTTAGCCAGACTAGAGCAGCTTTGGCTAACATCACCTGAAATCACTCCCGGATAGGAAACATGAACTTGAATGGAGAGTATAATATACCATTCTCTAAAACAACAACCACAAACAAAACACAAGAATGGGTTTTGAGCACAGGTGGAGGGAGAGGCCAGCACCTTCCTCTGCTAGAGAGTACCAACAGGAGCCTGAGATACACTTTCAGTCTGGTTTCTGCTGCTGACAGGTTCGTTTTCAAAACAGATCCCTCAGTGCTATCTTTTACAGAGGAGACGGTGGAGTTGGTAAGTGTGAGGATTGAGCAATTATGCTTAATAGTAAACTCTACCCCTTAATGCCCACAAGAGTACAGGAACCAGCATGCCAAAGAATGTGCTACTCTGGAGAGTGCTGTAAACCCGAACCAGACATGATTCATCTGGAAGGCAGTTCTCCTGGAGAGAGCAGCAAATTAATGTTCAGGGTCCACTGTGAGATGAGTTCCAGGGGATGCAAACACAGCCTTTCCTCTCTCTTCCCAAACTGTCAGGTCTGGCTCACGGCCATCTCCCATATGAGTTCAGACGGCAGTTGGCTTAGACGGAGTCAGCCTTGCCTGCATTGGTTCTGGAAGGCCAGCAACTCGAGAGAATTCAAGTGAGTGTCATCTGTGGGAGAAGGGTGTGGGATCCCACCCCAGTTATTTCCTGAAATAACTCAGGAAAGGAGTCAGTCTCCACAGAGGTTTAAAAATACCTGTGCTCAGGCTCTCAGAACAGCAGAGTACTTTGTGACGGATTTCCAAAGTTCCCAGAAAATGGAACTGGCTGTGGGACGCCTGTTTCACTTTCTTCACAGGGCAGGGCAGAAGGAAACTGCTCTGCAAGGTCAGAGTAAGGACGCCTCAGATAGGAAACCAGACTAACTTCGGAACTTCTAAGAAAAACAGGTTGTAAGTCGAGGAAAAGTTTGGCCACCCAGAACATCATCTTCAAGAGAGTGACTCCAGCCTTCCCTTAGTCAGCGCCCAGGTCACTCCAGTCCCAGCCCCTCCTTGTCCATGTTCATCATGAAGTAACAGAGCTTTGCTCTCTGACCCCACATCCCTGCCCCGCTGGACCTCCCTCCCCCTCCTGCTTTGTTCAGCAAACTGGGTATGAACACAGCAGCCAACTGACTCTGTTTCTCTTATATTTGCAGTAAGAATGCAGAACAGGGGCTAGCCATGAGATGTTAGGTTGGGAAGGTAAAAATAGCTTTGAAAACCAGATAAGATGCCCATTGTCTCCTCAGTAACCCAGGCCCCAGAGGGCACTGACCAGGCCTTCAGTCAGTGAACTCTGCTTTGAAGGAGGAGCCAGCGCACTGGTTTCACAGTAAGATAAGGGGAAAGGAGAAAATGTTATGGTTAATACTGTTCTCTTGGTAGTGGGTGAATCATGTAGTTCTTCTCCAAGAGTGGCAGTTGCCCCACTGAGTCAGTGCCGCCAGCCCTGTCATCTTGGGCGGGGCTGACCATAGCACTGACAGTTGGTTGCTAAAGCAGCAAGCAGTTCAAGGACTTGAACCTGGAGTTTCCGTCCCCCTACCCTGCCTACATGCTCCACACCAGGATGAGGGTGGGACTCTAGCTTCTGGCTTGAGTACACTTTTCACTGGAGGGCCTGCCCCAGACGACCTCCTACTGCACCTGAAACCCTCGATCCATTTACGTGTTTGTTCACCCATCTGTCTCTCTACCTGGGAAGAGCTTTGAATTATTCTGTTCTAGCCAAGAAACAACTAAATGTTTGCTTTCTAAATGACTGAATGAATGATTCAAACAGGCTTCTTGGCAGGTGTGCTGGGCTGCAAACCTGGTAGCTCAAGCTCAGCCGGACAGGGGAGCAGGGAGGGGCCAGAGAGGGGCTGCCTGTGAATGGCACAGTGAGCCCAGAGGAAAGCACATTCCTCAAGTGGAGGGAAAATATGTCTGCTAAACAGGTCTGGTCACCACTGATGTGACTGCTTTCTCCTCTCACTCCGGTGGTTTCTTCCCGCTTTCTTTGTGTGCTTTGGTCCATCCCACTTTCTACCTCAGGCCCTCTCACTCTGAGCTTGATAGGATGTAACCTCACTGTTTACTCACTGTTTAATTAAATCATTATATTTTGATGTCTGTGTATCTCCTGTTTGCCTCAGTAATAGGTCTCAAGAGTGGAGGCTCAGAAGTCCATAGTCTTTCTCTGTCTAGTTTTCTCTACAGAAGAGAATTCTGGACTCCACAGATGCAGCCACAGTGGTTACATGTTTATATGTCCTACCCTTTTCATGTCTTGGTCATGCATCAGCGACACCTCACAGTGCTTGCTTATGGGAGGTCGCCAGGTCGTGGCGTACTGTCTAATAACGTGTCGCAGTATTGTGTCTGTGTCTTTCCCACCAGATCGCAGGCTCCTAGGGCAGGGTTCCCGTAGTTCGGCCGTGTCCTATTAGAGCTGCTTAAGAATCCGGTAAGAATGGAACTGACGATAATGTCCATTTTGATCCTCCTAGGAGCAGCAGGGAAGCAGGAGGCCTCCTTACAGAAGTGCCTGCTCCGGAGCGATTCCAAATGTTTGCTCTGGACCCACGCCCAGATCTAGGCCATAATTTCAAAAAGGGCTCTGCTAAAGGGCAAGAGGTTTGATTTACTTTGCTCCTCCATACCGTAGTTTTTCACAGCCCACCCAGAAAATAATGGCAAGGTGTCAGTAAAAACAAACATCTGTTATTAAAATGTGTTTGAGGTTTCCTTCCTTTTGCTTCAGAGATTTTGAAAAAAAAAAATTTTTTTTTTGAAAATTAAACCCAGAAGGCATTCTTGAACTTCATGTCCAAAGGAAATTAAGAAAAAAAATGACTTGAGGCAATGGATCTGGGTCCAGGCTGTCTCTCCCACGTTTCACCAAACCTAAAAAAAGTGGGCAACAAAGGGAAAGTTCCAAGTGCAATTCCATAGGAAGAAAAAATGCAGAAGACTTCTCTAGCCTGCAGTGTACATCTCCCCTTCCTTGAAGAAGGGTCAGGCGTCAGCCTGAAGTGGCAGACAACAGCCATCATGACAACTGCTATTATGTTCACTGGTGGGGTCGGTGGTAGTTATTTAGGGAAGGGCCAGGAAGTGCTGAATATTGTTACAAATAAGTCAATTTATTCTTTTTGCTTTTAATGTGATACTCCTAAATTGTTGAGTCCCCAGAAATAATCCTAAAACTTCCTTCAGTTCAGCTTTCCCAGCACTCTGAGTGCTGATTTATATATTATAACCCTGAAAGGATTCCACTGTTTTCCCCAACTTTAATAGACTGGACTGTAGCCAGGGGCATACCACATGGGTAGTGGTCTAAAAAGGTCAGTTTTGCAACGGTCAGGGGAAAGCAGAGACACACCCAGTCTATGCTCCGCCCAGGCCCAGGCCCGACTTCACGAGGGCTGCTGCTTGAGAGGCTGGCTGGAAGCCAGACATGGAGGAAGAGGGCCCACCTGATGCGGTGTGCAGGGAACACCGGGCAAGAGCATCCGTCACCTAGAAATCAGGGGCCTTTGTGCCCAGTGGACCCTCATAAAATGTGAGGTACTAAAATAAACTCCAAATGGTATATCAAGTACCGTGATGGAGGTAGCTCTGGGCTGTCGAGGAAGGTATACAGCATTTAGAAGAGATGATTAAACAGAACTTGGGCAGGAATCTGTGGGGGCAGGGCTGATGAAATTTCGAATGAGTTATATGAACTAATTCCTGCCCCAACCCCTGACATTATTTTTTGCAATTTGCTGAAATACATTGGAAGCAAAGATCACTAACAGGGTGTTTCCAGAACCTGGCCTCACCTGAAGCACAGGATATACAAATCCACTGCTGCAGGTTCAAAGTCAAGCTGCAGGGGCTTGAGGGGCAGGTATCTGCAGCAACTGCAAACCTCTTAATAGGAAAAGCTACCTTTCCAGCAAAGCTGAGGCAACCTGCCAGCAGGCCTAAGGCAGATAAGCCAGCAGTAGTCTCAAGATGGCCTTGCCAGTCTAATTGCTGTCTTCACCCACAGTTCAGTCAAGAAACCTTCTCCGATGGATCTGCCTTTTGACCCAGCAATTTCACTGGTAGGATTATAGCCTAAGAACTCTGAAATACCAATCCAAAAAAACCTGTGCACCCCAATGTTCACAGCTGCACAATTTACAATAGCCAAGTGTTAGAAGCAACCTAGGTGCCCGTCAGTAAATGAATGGATCAAAAAACTATGGTATGTTTACACAATGGAATTCTGTGCAGCAGAAAGAAAGAAGGAGCTCCTACCCTTTGCAACGGCATGGATGGAACTAGAAAGCATCATGCCGAGTGAAATAAGCCAGGCGGTGAAAGCCAAATACCATATGATCTCACCTTTGACAGGAAGCTAAACAACAAAACAAGCAAGCAAGCAAAATATGACCAAAGACACTGAAATACAGACCAGGCGGACAGTGACCAGAGGGGAGGGGGAGGGAATTTCAGGGGAAAAGGGGAAGGGTTTACAGAAACAAGTATAAAGGACACATGGACAACAACTAAGGGAGGTAGAAATGGGAGGGAGGTGGGGAGCACTGGGAGAGTGAGCTGGGATGGGAGTAAAAGACAGAAAACTGTACTTGAACAACAATTAAAATAAATAAATTTAAAAAAAAAAAGAAACCTTCTCCCTTTAAGATTGCCGGCCAGTCCTAGGGTGACTCACTTCCTCTTGGAAAATGCCTTCTAAGATGGCACCGTTCCCCTTCCCCTTCAGGGAGTGATCAGTCTAAACCACCTGCAGAGAATAGCCAGAACCATCAGGGCCACACCCACATGGTCTCACAGCTGAGTCACAGCCCTCCACTAGAAGAATCCCAGTCCCCTTTCTGCTAACCACACCCTGCAGAATGCTCCCAGCTCCCCACAGAGGGAAGGGCTGTGGGTGGGCTTATGTGTTCCAGAGTCTTGGCCAAAGCTGTGCAGGGCCTGGCCACTAGCCCTCTGCATCCATGGCAGCCACCCCCAGCCACCACAGCAGAGGCCTGGTTTCAGATAGGTGGAGCCCAGCTGAGGCAGGAGAGTGCAGTATTCAGGGCTGGAGGAAGTGCCATTCCTTTGGCCAAGTTCTAGTGTGGCGAGGTACCCAGCACATCTCTGTCTCACTGCACTGGGCCAGACTTATCTGGGTTAGAAGGTCCTTCATCAAGCCTGCTCTCCCCCTATTTCTTTTCAGTTTTACTTGCTTAATTATCGTAGCAAGAGGGGAACCCTTTCAGTAGAGAAATCACTTAATATAACAGTCCCCCCCCTCCCCCCTGCAAAACTGCTTTATAAAGAAATCAAATAGACCTGCTTCCCTCAATAGTAAGAACCTTCTGGTCTAGCAGACAAACAACAGGAAACCCAACCTGAAGCATCTGGGCCAGGAACTGAGGAGTGAGGAAGGGTATCAGCCAGCTGCCAACACGCCCAGCCCTCCCTGGCCGGCTTCAGCCCCGACCCCTGACCGAGCCTGCTCTGGCCATCCAGCTGGAAGGAGGCTACGAACAGCTGCACGGAGGTCAGCATGCAGCTGGAGCCCACAAAGAAACGTGCCATCAGGGCAGGGGGCCAGAAGCGGGGGTTCGCATAATAAGGGAGACTAGTCGAAAAGTAGGCAAGTGTCAGTAAAGAAACTTTAAGGGAGGAGATATCAGACCCCGGGGCACCAACCCCTAAGTCCTGTAATAAAGGACAAGGGCCCCCTCCTCGGGTCTGCGAGGAAGGGGGAGGGGTCGCGCCAGGACGCTGCTTGCCCGCTGGGTGTGGCCAGAGCACGGATACCCCAAGCCCCGGTGCTGGGACGCCCCGCAAACTGGATGGTGGGCGGGAGGAGCCGATAAGGGGCTTTCCCCGGTTCTGGGCCCGGGGCAGGGGGAAGCTGAGAACGGTTCGGGGGAACTCACCTTGGCCCGAGGCGCGGCAGGATCGCTAGGCAGGCTGGGACGAGCGGCCAGTGAGCGGAGCGCAGCTTGCTGGGCGCCTTAGTAGGTGGGGGTGGGGGGGGAGGCAGGAGGAGCCTGGGAGGGTGTCGCGCCTCGGCTCACCCCACCCCTTCTCCTCCCGCCTCTTCCTGCTCTCCCCACCCCACCCCACCCCACCCCGGGCGCGCGCTCACACCCTACTCGCCCCGGGGGTGCAGAGGGACTTCACTCCTGGTCTCCACGCGCTCCCAGTGACCTGATTATCGTAAACTTCTTATCCTAAACGAACGCTCGTAAACATTGAAGGAGATACCCACCCTTGGCCATGCCTTTCCTCTCGGGTTTGGTTTTAGAGAGTGAGTTAGTGAGGAAATCAAAGAATCCAGCGGTTCTATGGGTGGGGCACGTTGGCCCCAAACCAGAAGTGAGCGGCTCTAGGGTAACTTACAGGTCTAGGAATTATTTTCTAGATGACACTGCAGGGAGGGGCACGTGGGGTACTAACGACTAGGCCCTAGAAGTCCTTCCCTAGCGTCTTAGCTCCTGCATCCCAGGTCCGTGGGCCTTTCGCAGAGAAGTCGAGTTTAGCCGCCACCCCCCCCCCCCCCACGCCGTTGCTATGTGGTAGGGAGGGTGCTGTGGGGTTCGTCAGTTCCACAGGATTTTGTTAAATGGGATTTACTCCTCTTGGTGTGTGTGGCTCCACTGGGTCGATAGTTCAGCTACAGTTGTAGTCGACACTGTTAAAACCTACCTTTCAAAGCTTCCTTTTCGTCCTGCAATTGGCCTGTTGGGTCCTCAATGCCCTTTAGGAGAAATTTCTTCCAGAAATTTAAAGGAAAAACGTAAGTGTTTCCTAGCGGATAAGTATCACTCCATTTATTTTAATTGTGGTTTAGGGTTAAATGCAAACTACTAGCAGCTGTTTGTGGAAAAGGGCCCAGTCTGAAGGCCTGGGTTTTCCTTTGTTCCCGAGGGAGGTCCTGGGAGGCGTGAGTGATCCTAAAAGAATGAACAGACTCAGGGAATCCTTGAGTGCTGCTATGTGACTAACCTTGGCTCCTGCCAGGAAAGCCCCACTTGGATTACAGCTCTCACTCCTGCTGGGCTCCTGCAGCCTTGCAGCTGACTGTTCTGGGAAGCTTCAAAATCTTCCGTATGTTTCCAAGTTCCTTCCAGGCCCTGCCTACAATCATGAGTGGAGAAAGTCCTGGATTTCTTGAGTTCCAGGGAAGATACACCTGGATTTAGAATAAGAACACCCATGCTCCTTATTGGATTTCTTCATCTGATTCACAGACCTTCAGAATGCTTAGTGTGTGTGCTGGGCCTTGGGGATTCAGAGATGAAAGAGTCAGTCTCTCCCTTAGAGAGCTTCCAGTCTTGCTGGTGAAACCAGAAAAGTTGGTGTTTGTGCTGCCTGTCACTACCAAAACCATTAGGTGGAGACAGGGGCTGAATTCTTATGGGCACTTTATTCAGATGCTGGTGATCTGAGAAGATGGTGGGTTATGTACCCTAAAAACCATTTTAACATCTCATCTTAGGAAAAGTAGGTAAGGGGGTTGGAATTCAGGGGAAAATGTTAATCAGTTAAAAGTTGCAGTCCTGCAATTTTCCTAGCAGCCCGTCATCTGCTGACCAGCGGTTCATTTTGTGGCCCAGTCAGCTGGATGTTCTCTCCCTGGAGCACAGTGGCTCAGGCACCATCCCGATCGCTTGCTTGCAGTCCTCCTGGGACACAAAGGTTGACTTGTTTGCGGGCCTCCTGGAGTCAGGATGGGTCCAGTCATACATTCCAGTTCCTGGAACAGCAGCTTCTTATATGCATTAATCAATAAGCCTATTAACTATAACTGGAACTAAAATTTTTAAACTCTTGAGTTCCCCCATCATTGGAAGGCAGATTAACAATTAAAGTTCACGAGTTCAGTGAATGGCAAAGAACACTATAGGACACTATGAAAAGGTTGAGGAGGGGCCTCTAAATCCCTTTGGAGTGGTCACAGAACAATTCCTGGAGGAGGCAAATTTGATAGATGGTTTAAAAATAACAATACCACTTATCATGACTTTTAAATCTGATTGTAAAAAAGATTACATTCTTATCATAAGTTTGGATAGTATAGCAATGTGTAAGAAAGAAAGTAAAATTATTTGTAAATGCATGAGCCAAAAATTAATAATTTCATGTATTTCCTTCTAGTCTTTTTATGCATATATAATATATAAATTTACATAATTTTGGGATTTAGGGGGATTTTTAAAACAAAATGACCACAGGAAGCATTCTTGAATTTGATCCCTACAGGGAATTCAGAAAATTGTGTTGAAGCAATGGATCCAGGCTGTCTCTGCCACCTTTCACCAAACATAATACTTGCTCACTTAAAAAGTGGTCAACAAATGAAAAGTTCCGAGTGCAACCCAATAGGAATGTCCTGGGAGAAAATCCCAGAAACTTGGTTTTTCTCTCCAATGCAGTAAAGAATTACAGATCAGTGAGTCTGTTATCAGGCAAGCAGAGCTTACTGGTGATAGGGTCTCAGGGAAGACAAGGGGCCTTGCTGAGGTTGAGAAGAAAGGCAAGGGCAGGAATGGCAAGAGCAAGAGAGAGATCCTTTCCTCTGAGGACTTAAGTAGTTGGCAGGATAGAGGAGGGTGAAGAAGTTACATATTGACTAACAAGTAAAGGTGGTGCTAGCTTTCCAGGAGGGGAGAGGGTGTGAATACCCAAAGGTGTCAATGGGCTTCTTCCTTTAGACACTATGGGCCATTTCTGGCCTTTCAGGCCTCCGGATGAAAGCACAGTCTCAAAGGCTTTCTTTCCCAGATTATGAAAAAGATGCAAAGAATTTCAAGGACTGCTGAGTCACTGGGTGGGACATGTATCCCTCCTCCTCCCTGCCTTGGTTTGCTATCTACCCTACCTGACATTAATAAAGGACTCAAAAGCCTTCTGTACCCCCACGGTATACATTCAATTTTCCTCGAAGAGTTTTTAGGCATGCACCTGAAGTAGCAGACAATAGCCATTGTGACAACAGCTATTAAACCCATTTGTGGGTTGGGTGGTAGTTACTTAGTAAAGGGCTTACATGCTGAAAATTGTTAAAAATAAGTGGATTTAATTTTTTCTGCTTTTGATGTGATCCCTAAATTGTGATCACATTGATTATAAAATTATGTATTCTATTTTGTCCCGTAATGCTTTATATTTACTATTTTTGTGTCATTAAATATTTATCAAAAGAATGAATGTTCATTTATTCACTCATTCTTCTCATTTTTTCCCATTCAACAAATAATGATTCAACTACACTGTGGCCTCTCTGCTGTTTTCTCCAGGCTGCCAGCCAGAGACCCCCAGGCCCTAGTGGCTTCAATGCTACAGGATGGAAGGGACTTCGGTAACTAACATACTGTGCTACGTGCTGAGGATAGTGATGAAGATGGTCAGCAAAAGTTCTGTCTCTGCCAGCAATTTATTTAGCATAGGTTTGCTGTGGGCATTATAATAATTTCACAAGCCAGTAGCATACAGGATAATATCTCTTAATAAGCCAAAGCCCCAGCCCTGGCTGGTGTGGCTCAGTGGACTGAACGTCACCCTGGGAAGCAGAGGGTCACCAGTTTGATTCCCAGTTAGGGCACATGCCTAGGTTGTGGGCCTAGGAGGTCCCCAGGAGGGGGTGCACAAGAGGCAACCACATGTTGATGTTCCTCTCCCTTTCTTTCTTCCTCCTTTCCCCTCTCTCTAAAAATAAATAAATAAAATCTTAAAACAAAAAGCTAAAAATCTCCCAACAAATGACACATTAATCACACTATTTTTCCAGGCAATATGAAGTGTATTTTCTTATGAGAAGAGGCACTTGGGACAGTTGGTGACCAACCTGCCAGGGCAAAAGTAGAAGTCCCAGTTGCTAGAGCGTGTTGCTAGGGAATGAAGACTCTAGTGTTGGTGTAGGGTGGAAGGGGCTGTTCTCTTTCATAGGCTGTTGTGGGGAAAATCTCAGATAGTCCTCGCAAACTCTCAGTATTTACAGTGTAAGTGTCCCCTTGCCAGTGTTGCTTCTCCACGTGTTCTTATCATAAACCCCTTGTGTGGCCCCTTAGCTGCTGGACGGCAGACTGCTTATCAACAACAGATGAAGAAGAATAACATCCTGGCATGACTTACTTCATTCTTATATCAGATCAACTTTTTTTGGTCTTTGCCACGAACAAGTAGATTAAATGAACTTCACCTAAGTCATAAACAAGTGCATTTAAAATCTTATTAAACCAATATACAACAGTACTGGTAGGTCTATAAAACTCCACGTACCTGACGTGGGATCTCTCTTTAGGAGAAGGGGTCCCGCCCGGGCAGTTCTTTCTCCAGAAAGTAGTTAGGCCTTGTAAACCACATGCACACAGTGGAGCTAGCTCTGCTTCCCTGGTGACAACTTATTGGACTAGGGACCATGACATGAGCCAGAGCTCTGCGGGGAGGCTGGGAGGCTGGGAGCCTTGGGGTGGGAGGGTGGCTTGGCAAATGCAAATGGTTTCTTAGTTTCGTCCTGTGCATCACGTCGTGCCCCGCACCACACAGAAACTGTACAGTCTGTCTCAACAGTCTGCCCAGACATTGCATTCACGTCTGAATCACAGCTGTAGCGAAAGGTAGCTTTCTCCAATATTCAGGAACCCTGGTAAGGAGTCACAGTGGTCTTCCATGGCACTTCAGCTGAGAACCCTCAAGTTACAGTTGCTGGTTTAAGAGTTGGCTGGCAAATCAAAGCAAAAAAACACATTCCCTAAGTGTGGCTGTACCTGTACACCCCAAATAGGGAAATACAATTTATTAAATATCTCCCATTTTTTAACATTTAGGTTATTACCATTTTTTACTGTCAGATAATAATTAGATATAAAAAGATTACTTTTGAATAAACATCTTTGCCCACATGTTTATTTTCTTAGGATATATTCCTGTTGGGGGCTATCATCTGGTTTGTTTGTTCATTTATGTGGATCTTAAAGGACAAGTGGGGATCAGCCCTAGTCTGTGGGGCACAGGTGGGAACAGCATGTGCCAGAGCGTGGAACTGTGGGGGAGCCTGTCTGCTCAGGAATCGCCCCAGTTGGAAGGGGATGAGCCTGAGAGGAGGTGCCTTTCCTGGGGCACCTGGATTCTCTGCCAAGGAGCTCGGAGCTCATTTCTTAAGGTAAGAAGGAGCCACTGAAGAATGTTAAAGAGTCAGGGAGTGAGTCTTCCACTTACCAGCTGTGTGGCTCCAGGCCGGTCATCTCCCCACTGTGAACCTGAGTGTCTTTATGGATGAAATAGGGAAAGACACCCATCTTCTGGGGTGTCGGAAAGAAGGAACCAGCTAATGACCATCAAGGCCTCCCACGTCCATGCTCCCCGCAGGCAGCAGGTTACGCATAGAGGATTCAGCTGCTGTGTGATCCCTTATTGCTAAAAGCCTTTAGGGGGCAGAGCAAGGTCCCTGGTGTGCGAATTGTGGGTAAACACCTCTGAGGAGACTTCGCTTTAGGGCACCAGGTGGGTCCACAGAGGCTAGATTGCCAGGCTAACTTATCTCTTGGAACAGCAGAAGCTGAAGGGCTACAGCCTTTTTTTTTTCTCCAGGCATGAGAAACTCTTAGCTTGGGGTTGCAAACCACCCCCTTTCTTCTGTAGGTGAGCTGCAAACTGCAAATTCTAACGATTATAGTCTATCAAATACTTATTGAGTGCCTACTATCACCCAGCATGCTCTGAGTACTGTACATGTAAAGGGGGAAAAACCTATGATGGGAACAACAAGGGTCCGAATGAGAGAAGAATTGAAGGGGAAGAGAGGAGAAAGTCAGGGAAGACTACACAGAGGAGGGGACATTTGAACCCTGACTTAGAAGAAGAGGAACTAGGGTTGCAAGTAAAGGAGGAGCTAGAGGAAGCTTTTCTGTGGAGGGGAGAGCACGTGTAGAGGCTGGGAGGGGCCTGGGCGGAGCGGGGAACTGCAAAACCACCAGTGTGCCTGCGGCCTGGGGAGGGTGGCAGGAGATGAGGATGGACAGGCCCTTAACCACTACTTGACATAGTGGTTAAAAGCACCGGCTTGGGAAAGAATCCTGTTTTCTCTGCCATGTCACCTTTCCAAACCTCAGTTTTCTCATCTGGAAAATGGACTTGATAGTAGTAGTACTTGCTCCTTTAGGAGGTTGTAAATATAAATGAGAAAATGCATGCAAATACTTAGCAGAGTGCCTGGCACATAGTGAATACCCCACTCACGTTAAGTATAATAATTATTAATAAGTGGGGGTGGATTGGAGCCAGACAGGCCTGTGCTGCTGAATCCTGGCTCTGCTGCATAATTGGTTTGCATTACAGGCAAGTAAATCTCTGCTCCTTCTGTGTCCTCATCCATAAAGCAGGTTTCAAATTACTATTCTGTGGATCAGTTTATTGTGGGAATTATATGAAGTGATTTATGTGGAGCCATCCTGAAGATTGGAGCCAACCCACAAGGTGTTTTAATTATTTTTAAGTGTTTTCCTGAATATATTGTGTCTTAATAAATAAAAAAGAGGCTAGCAAAACGTTAATGAAAACAGTCATAATTTGGTGGGTCAGCCTATGTTATAGGTTGGAGTGGTTGACAAAGCAAAGCCTGGGAATTTCAGCCTTCCTCTTCCATTTTCTTGTCATGAGACAAGCAATCCTGATTTCCCAGGTTTCTTCCAAAAATGAAGAAAACAAGACCCTGCCTCTTGAGTTAAGCGATTAGGCCAGAAGAGAA